GCAAATGCACAGCCATGCCTGTAATGCCAACTGTCTACACATTCTCTAAACATGTACTGCATATACATGAGGTACCATGTTAATAAGCAAGTAGTTGGCATTTGTTGTACAGCTTCCCTGGGTTTATCCTTTCAGGCAGAGATTATGATAAAATAATAGTGATAGTGGCAATACTTACTTAGAATTTTTTATGTCCAGTTGTTAAGTGCGGTGCATGTATTAACTCATATAATTCTCACAGTAGCCCTATGAGGTAGGTACTAATATTACTCCCATTATTTTTGACTAAGAAACTAAAGCACAGAGAAGTTAAATACTCACATGAGATAATAAAGCTAGTAGGTGGAGGAATTGGAATTCAACACAAGTTGTTTGGATTCAGAGGCTTGGCATTTATATTACACTATCTATGGAGCAGCAGAACAGTTAAACACTTGCTGTGGTCTGAATGTATGTGTCCCCTGACTCCCCATTTGTATGTTGAAAACTGACTGCCCAAGGGAATGGTATTAAGAGGTGGGTTTTGAGAGAGGTTATTATGTCATGAGGGCAGAGCTCTTGTGAATGGAATAAGTCTTCTCATAAAAGAGGCCTGAGGGAGCTGGTTTGTTTGCCCCTTGACATTCTTCCACATGAGGAAACATAGAAGGCACTATCTATGGTGTCTGCAGGTGCCTTGACCTTGGACATTTCATCCTCCAGAACTGTGAGCAATGCATTTCTGTTGTTTATTAATTGTCCAGTCTAAGGTACAGATGATCCTCAACTTATGATGGTTTGACTTGTGACTTTGACATTATTACGGGGTGAATGTGATATGCATTTGGGAGAAACCACACTTCTCTAGTGATGGTGGACTGGTGGCAGCAAGCCCTGGCTCCCAATCAGACACATGTTTTTGGCTTATAATATTTGCAGTATACAGTGGGTTTATTGGGATATACTTCATTGTAAGTCTAAGAGCATTCATATTTTGTTAAATCAGTCTGAACGGACTAGGACAACACTCTATGAAATAGTGTAGGAATACAGAGAAGAGAGTGCATTTTCTTGTTCACTAGAGCGCTTGTGAAGGAATGTATTTCAGACCTCAAAGAATAGAAAATTTAACTGTGGAGACATAATAACTATAGTGGTAAAAATAATTATAGTGACGGAAGTCAATGTTTACTAAGCATCAGTATGTGTTAGGTGCTATGTGCAAGTCACTTATGATGGATTATCTCATTTAATCTTCACCAGTGCTAGGTACCCTGGAGTGTTTCCATTTTATGGGAAAGGAAATGGAGACATTGACATGGATACAGGTCTATGTTTACACTGCTGGAAAGTGGAGGAAGTGGGATTTTAATTTAGTCTGACTACAAACTTGTGTGCAACATGTTAGGTGGGGGATTTTATCCAAGAGGAGAACAGTGATGAACTTAGGCTCAGGCAGGCTGGTATAAAGCATGTTTGGGAAGCATTAAGACCTTAGAACTTTAATTATCACTTTTTGTCACATTTCCCAGTTATATTTGGAGGGCATTACAGGTGTAGACTGCTAGGGCCTACAGCAGTTGTTGCTGTATGGAAGATCCACAGATCAGTATCTGAAGGGTCACTGATCTAGAGTGTGGCATACATCCCATAGACTACAATTAAAGGTCAAAACATGGAGGGCTTCAATTTCATATTAAGGAGCTTTCACATGCTGGAATTTTATAGTTAGGCATGCTCATCTCCATGTATCTGATGATGTGCTTGGGGCTAGAGTGTCTAAGGAAAGAACTGGATCTGTGTACAGTCTTGGGTGTTCAGACAATTGAAATGTCAGGTAATTGGAGGACAGAGTTGACATTAAAGTGCAGGGAGGATTGTTGGGCTGTGGGAGGGAGGCTTTTCCATGGCATGAGAGGGAATGAGATTCATTAACCATATTCAGAGCAGAGATAGATGGTTTTGTGTAGAGCTTTTGGTATATCTTTCTTTGATTTGACCACATGGGAAGTGTATATGCATATGCCAAAGGAAGGAAAGGGCTGTATGTGTGAAAACAAATGTACATACACACATATCAAAAAACTAATACAATGAGCCTCTCAATCACTTCTGCCATTTTTATCAGCCTCTCTCATCTCTTAAACATGTACCAAGTGCTTTGCAAAGCTCTAGTATAGTAGTTATAGATGTATGTAGAGAAAGGAGTGATTCATTCATTCTATTTTGAGGGGTTGATAGAAAGTCTTCACAGAGGAGGTAATACCTGCCTATTGATAATTTTAAATGGTGCTTAGGAAAGCAGATAGACCATATGCAAAAAGATATGGAGCTGTTAAATAGCTTGTTGGCTCAGGGAAATAATTGACAAGAATGGACTAAAGTGAATGAAAGATGTTGGTAGAAGGTTTGGCAAGGGTTGAATATGAGCTAGTAGTTGGTACGTAGGAATGTCTGCATCATAGGAAATATGAGTATGGTGTATGACACATAAATGCTGTTTACTTCAATAGCACCTGCTGCTCTCCTTCTTAGAGACAAAAATGTGATTTGGCACTATAAACAATATTAGCATAAACTTTATCTTGTTGAGCATGTGGAGTGATACGCCAGATTTGTGTATTTGATAGTTCACTGGTTGATACATGGACTCTGGGCTCAGAGATTTGTTCAGAGACCATTGCAGTAATCCAGGCAAAAGATGTCATGCGATTTGGAACCATGGCAAAAGCAGGGAAGATGGAGAAGAGTATTAGCTGAGCTGCTATGACAGAATACCCCAGGCCATCTAGCTTCAACTACAAAAATTTATTTTTTCACAGTTCCAGAGGTTTGGAAGTCCAGGATCCATTTGCCAGCTGATAAAGTTCCTAGTGAGAGTCCTCTTCCTAGCTTGCAGATGGCCGACTTTTCCCTATGTCCTTATGCAGAGGGCTCTGGGGTTGGGGGAAAGAAATCTCTCTCATGTCTCTTATAAGAAACTAATCTTTTCTTGTCAGGGTCCCTCCTGATGACCTCATTTGACCTTAATTATCTCCTTTGAGGCCTAGCCTCGAAATACAGTCACATTAAAGGTTAGGGTTTCAAGATACAGATTTTGGGAGGACATAATTCTGTCAGTAGCAAGGAGTAAATATGGTAGCTCGCCTGCTTCCTTGAATGTGGTGGATTATACAAGGGTGTACTTGGGAGTGCATTCTAGGCTTTAGATTTGGGGTAGGGAAAGATCAGGAGGTTTCTTGGGTGTGTGTGTGTGTGTGTGTGTGTGTGTGTGTGTGTGTATTTTATTAAAATTGTTTTTGTCCTATTAAGATTTTTGTGGAGTATGGTAGGCAAAACTATTACTTTTTATAGTTTTTTCTACTCCAGAAGGAAATAATAATCTTCTTAAATTATTGGCCAACTTATCATGTTTATAAATTTTAAAGTGGGTGAATACATTGTGTCCACCTATTGCTCCATTGGCAGTAATTATTTCTATCCTGTGGTAATGCTAGAAAAAATAGACAATACCTTTGTTTGCAAATAATTGTGTAGAATGAGTGGCTTATCTGAGAACTGAGTTTGTATGTGGTGTTGAGGTGTAACTTTTCCTTATGTGTGACATTTTAGCATTTTAGGTGTCACCCTGGGATGCCTTATTGACAAAGACATTTCCTGCCTTCTATCATTTCTTTGTAATTTCATTTCTCTGCTTCTGCAGTGTGTTCTGAAGAAGATGCACACCTTCACTCTTATCCTATCCCTGTTTGTTACTGCTTGCTGATATTTTAAAATAGTTGAAGCAGTAGCGTATGGGCAGTTGGCATATACATATGCAGAGTCCAAGTAGTGCTTTTTGTAGAGCTAGCTCAAGAGGTTTTTCAGCACTGCATCAAAGCTTGCTCAGGGCAGTTTTCCTTGTTTGGGTGTGTCTCATTTTATTACTTCAGTATATATGTGTCATGCCTATTCTGTACTTTTTTATTGAAGCACAGTGTACAGAAATTTGCACATATGCATTTTTGTAAACTGTACACACCTGTATAATTAGCATCTGGGAAAATGGACTTTTTAAAAAAGTTTAATTATGTAGTTTGAGAGAAAAATAAACCTTTATGAATCTGCTGTGTACATTGGAGGACATGTGACCTTTAAACCTTTACCTTGTCCTTTTATATTAGCATATTTTCTGTTATCTAATGTATTTAAGGCATAGCTGATTATTCAGTGTCGTATCTTGTATATCACTATTGTTTATATATAATGCTTCCTGCTTTTATGAAATGAAAATTATTGGACTGAGAAATATATTCTAACTACTTTGTCAGTATTTGAAAGAAAGTGCAGTGAAAAGGAAAGTTGTTTATATTCAGCTACTGTTAAGAAAATTGCGTAAAACTTCAATGTCAAAAGAGCATTCTTGCAGTACCTTTGTGGGAATATTGTTTAACAGGACCACTGTAGAGACATTTTAGTCCCAATTTTAATTCTTGTGCTTGACTTGACTATTTATTATTCGAGTAAGACGTAGACACTGAAAAGTTACCTTACGCTTATAGATTTTTATCCAGTAGAAACGATAACCCCAAATGTTGTGGCTTATTGTCCTGTAGGACATTAAACAGTTTTCAGTCTAACCTAGCTGTCCTAGTCCATTTTAACAAAAGCCTTTTCTGATCGACTATATAAATCGCTTCCACAAATGCTCTTGGATCTAATCTTACTGACTTACTGGCTCCTCCATTTTTAATTAAGAAGTTGAATAAAATTTTTGATATATGTTCATTCTGTATGTATCTCAGCATCTTTTTTTTCACCTTTTTGAATGTCATAGTTTGATACTGCCATAGCATTTCTGTCCTGTACCTTCACATACTGAGAAACTGGTTTTCTAGGGCATGCAAAGCAATGCACAAATATTCCAAATACAGAGTGAAAGTTAGTGTCCTAATTTCTGTGGTTTCTTCAGAGAAAGTATATAATGTGAAAGTAGATTTTAATAATTAAAATATCCTAATCATTTTTTATTTTTTTTCTAGGCTTAATCACGTAAAGCAGTCACTGTGAAGAAAATAACATTTTAAGAAATTTTTCTGTCACCATTGTCAAAGGAAAAGGCAGTAGAGAAGTGCATCTTCTTGTGTGTGTATCTCACTGTGCCACATTTTATAACTCAACTTAGTAATGAAGCCACCATTATGTCCTCAGTCAGTGAAGTAAATGTTGATATAAAAGATTTCCTAATGAGCATTAATTTGGAGCAGTATCTCTTACGTTTCCATGAGTCTGGTTTTACTACTGTGAAGGACTGTGTAGCAATAAATGACAGCCTGCTACAGAAAATTGGAATATCACCTACAGGTCACCGTAGGAGGATACTTAAACAGTTACAGATACTCTTGTCAAAAATGCAAGATATTCCAATATATGCAAATGTTCATAAAACAAAGAAGAATGATGATCCTTCAAAGGATCACCATGTTCCATCTTCTGATCAGAATATCTGCATTGAACTTTCTGATTCCAGTAGTGTTCAGGCACCTAGCCCACCGCAGTTGGAGACTGTTACAAAAAATCTTGAAGAAAATAATGCAGATGTGGAAAGAAGCCAGTATCCTCCATCAGATGATAAGCTGTTTCTTCCTAAACATGACTTCCCGACTTCAGAAGAACCACACCTGAATTCGGGTTCTTTGAATGATTATTTATTTGGTAGTGAAAATATTAAAATAGAATCTTTGATTACAAAGAAGACTGTGGATCACACAAATGAAGAACAACAAACAGAAAAAGTTAATTTGATCTCAGAAAATCTCAGTAAGTACCCTAACGCAGGCTCTGAATGCCTGTCTTCTGTTGGCTGTTCAACATCAGAAACAAATTCTGGAAATGGCACAAATGGATTATTAGAAGGATCACCACCATCCCCATGCTTTCAGTTTCAAGGAGAAATGATTGTAAATGACTTGTATGTTCCATCATCACCAATCCTAGCACCTATGAGAAGTCGTAGCAAGTTGGTTTCAAGACCCTCTCGATCTTTTCTGCTAAGACATCGGCCTGTACCAGAGATTCCAGGGTCAACAAAAGGAATTTCTGGGAGGTGAGAAACTTTACAGTACGCTATAAGTATTCAATTTGAGGGAATTTAGTGATTTTTTAACAATTATGTTTTCAGTGTTCCTTTTTAAATTTGACTATATTCATTTACCTATTCAACCAGCCCTTTTGCTAAAACATTTTTTTCCTCATTCCATTGTACGTAATATCACAGAGTCTGCAGCTTATAATGCCTGGGGCTATTTACCTTTTCCCTATTTAATTGGGGGAACATCTCTTCCCTTAATTCTACCTGGATATTCCTTTCCATACCAATTCTCCACATTTAGTATTGTAGTCTTTCTATGATTGCAGTTCTCATATTTGAAATGTTGACTCTGTCTCCCCATTAGATGATTTGTTCTTTGACAAGGAACATGTTTTTGATGTTTGTATTCCTGCTGCCTGGCACAATGCTTGGCACCAAGTCATAATTCAACACATGTCTGCTGAACTTGGTACCGGTCACTGTGCTCAGTGGGAAGGATGCAAAGAGGAATACGGTGACTCATGTAGAAGTCACATGTGAAAAGATGGTGACAGACAGCTCAGTATGAAGCTAGGCTCACTAGAGACCAGATCTCTCAGACCCCAAAGAGGGGCTCTACCAGTATACGTTCTTATACCAAGTTAGAAAGTCACTGGTATCCCGAGTTAACAGGTTGATTATCTGAACAGTTAGGGAGGAGGTAATTCATAGCAAAAGAGGTCATCAGCTTTAACTTTCAGAATTTATGAATCTCAAAGTTATGCCTAAAATATTTGTGGTTTTCTACAGGGTTGGAATAGGATATTGCTTTTCCCATTAAAAGTTAACACTTGTCTCTCTGCTGAGAGGCAGGAGGCTGTTCAAGTTTGACTGTCACTGTAGTGGCACTAAATGCTTTACACACTTTCTGCACAGGCTCCAGGCTGGAGTTCAGCAGGATTCCTCTTCCCCTACCCGATACGGCTGTTGTTCCCCCTCCCCCCTTTGAATCTGTGCTTTGGCCTTAGGTACCTTTGGTAATTGTGCAAATAGTGTTTGCCAGAGAAAAGGTGGCAATTTAGTGTTTGTGAGAGAAAACTTGACCGTTTACAAGGCTCTGTTAATATATGTATCTCCTATTAGAGCATAAACTTTGATGACAGAGGTTCTAATTAATTTGTCTTTATCTTGACATCCCCAGTGCCAATAGCAAAGTCTGGTGTTTACTAGGAAATCAATAGTTGTAGTGTCATGTGTTAAACACATTTATTAAACAGCTAATATCTATTAAATGATAGTTTGGTTTATAATTTTACAGGGGTTATCTAGTGTTCTAATTAGTGACCCTGTTAGGTCACTAATCTGATTATTCTTATGAGGTAAATGAGCCTTGGGTTAATTTCCCTAAGATCACACGGGTAGTGAACTAGGATTTCCTACCAGTGCATCTGACTCAAGATGCCACTTTCTTAACCACTCATTGAGTAAATACTGTCGAAAATGTTGACTGCCTATATAAGAATTAGATTATTTATTGGGATTGTAAAAAAACACTCATTTTTGTATGACACTTTAGCTTTAAAATAGTTTGCTAATTTTGAAAAATTAAAAGAAAGTGAATGAAAAATGACAAATCAAGATGGCAGATGTTTTTGACATGCCAGACTCGTTTACCATGTGTACGCAGGTTAAAACTGCATCTTTGCCAGGACTGAATCCCTTTGGGAGCTAGAAAGGATCATCTCAGGTCAGAAGGATTTGGTTTAAGTTTCAAACAATCTGTGCTAATTTTCATGAATTTCACAGAGAATCTTTTGATGCTCATTTAGTTGTATAGGGGCACCAAAATTCCACCTCTTTTTTCTTAGGGTCCCAGCTGGGTCTAAAAATTAAATTGATATAAATTGATCACTAACATATTAACAGGAGAAAAAGCATACAAATTTATTTCATATAAGTAATATGAGTTTTATGTGGCAGGAGAATCCTCATAACCTGATAAATACCCAAATAAGCAGTTAGAGTGAAGCAATTAAATAATGAATTGCAAAAAGAGTAGTAAGTTGTGAAAAACTAGCAAAATTACGTGGGGAAGCTAAAAAGATAAGTTATTTTAACAAGGTCTGTACAGAATTCTTTGGCCTCAACTTCTTGTCCTTGAGGACAAGATGTTAATTTGCTTCAGGGAAATTTCATCTTCTGCTTTTAAGGAGACTAGAAGATCAGCTCTTTTTATACCTGTTGTTTTCCAACATTTGAATGAAATGCCTTTTATTTAAAATAGTCAATATGCCAGAGTGGTGTATTTTCAACTCCTTCATTATAAATGAAAGTTTGTATTACATGAAAATCTTGTTATTCAATTTGTAACTGAGTCTTTGAGAGTGGAAACATTAAAATTAGTAGCAAATAATTTAGTGCTAGCTATATCATAGCACTGTTTTTTTTATGTGACTTTTAGACCAGATTACCTATCCTAATCTTTCTTTTCTTTGATTATAGTAGTTAATAGCAACAGTGCTTTTGTGGTGCTCAGATTGTAGCATGAGTAAATAAATTATTTTCAGACTTCACTGTCTGTTTTTCCTTGTGCTCCTTCCCTGTGTTGCAAATAGTAATTGCATGATTTTAAAGTGTTTTAATATGACTTTTTAACTAAAACTGTGGGTTACATAATGTGAATTTCTCTTTGGTCAAGTAATAACACCTATAAATGATGTTGAGTGCATTCCTTCATATACCAAATAAAATATTTCTTTATGATCCGTGTTTTAATGTAATTACTAGACATTTCATACAGTTATACAAAGGAATATGGATGCCAACTTTGAAGTGTTTTCCTGACATAGGGCTCTTTGTTTTTCTCTCCTGGACATGTGCCCTCCCTGCCTCCTTCCTCTCAACAAAATTGATAGAATTGATGCTCTATCAAATTTATTCTTTGTTGTAGACTTGGGTTCTTCCCTGAATTCCTGCCTGCTCCTTTTCTCTGGAGGGCTGGCCTGGACAATAATCTCAGGTTATCTTTTGAACTATCTCTTGAGAGCCAGATCAGAACTAGACTGCAAGCACCAGCTCCTTCCTTATCACCTTCACTTGGAGGCTCTGCTAGTCCCTGGGGGCCCTCCAAGCAGAAAGCAGATCCCACATTGCCATGGGAGTTGTAGGTGTGTCCTATAATCCTATGCAGAGTCATCTTAGTACCCCAGGCAGGAAGGAATCTCACAGCTACTGAAGGAAGTACCTTTTTCCTCTTCAGTTTAATGATTTTTATGCATCTTTCGTGCAACTGAGTTATCCTTGGGAGAGGTCTCAAAGCCTTGTTTTTAAGCCTCTGAATATTTTTGGGGAAGGGCAAATGAAGAAACAGTAGTAGTGGAAAGGGATGATGTGCAAAGCTGCACTGTTGTGGAGGTACAACTGTAAGAAAACTGAGGTGCTGTGTTGACTCCTTGAGGGCTTTTCAAAAGTTTGAAATCTACACCTGAAGTCTCCAGTGTTCTTCAAAAATTTTATTAATAATAAAAATCTTGGATTTTTTCCCTCTGTATATACATAGACATTCAAAACGTATGACACTGTTTTATAGATTGTAATGCCAAAAATACATATGAGCAAAAAGTACAGAAAAGTAATAAGCAATTGTTTACTGCACTGCATAAGAAATATACAGAAGGATATCACATCTTTTTCATCTCCAAGAAAATTTTACATATCACATTGCAGTAGAAAAATACTTAGCAATCCTAACATTTTGATTTCTTTCTCTTAAAGTGCTTTTTAAATTCTATGAGAAAAGGCTTAGTATTTGCTAAATTTTGACTTGAATATCTGAATAATTAAATCTAAATAGTAGTTAGATTTATTGTTAGAAGATGAGGATATCCTTTCAATAATCTAAGTTAAAAAGTCATTACATTTATATATTTTTTTGTAAATAAAATCCACCTTGTTTGAAAAAAGTATAAAATTGAATTTTTTTCTAGTAGATTAAAAAAATTAATGGTGTTGTAAACTTATGTGTTGCAATAGTTCTGTAATGATCATTTATTC